GCAGCGAGGCCCAACTGACTTATCTTCGTCTATACGAGAAAAATACGTTCTATAAATTCACCAGTCCCTTCTAAATGGAGAGGACAACAAATAGGAATAACTTTAAGTAAAAAGGTAAATGTGAAACTAAAGTTTATGCAGCACATCATCTAGCCACTAAGGACGTATGTCTTTGAACAGTTTGGAGATATTTTGGCTTACTTGATTTACGTGGGTTAACGCAGTTAAATTAGTTCTGTCAACTCGAGGCCAACGAGAAGCTTCCCTTGTAGTGCCGGAATGGCTGGGTAGTTTTACGATCGTTCTTTCTTAATCAAGGTGGAAGCACCCGATTTTATGGGGCAGCCATTCCAGAAGGTAGGCTGAATAAGTTTCCATAATGAGATCACATATTGTAAAGCGATTGTATTAGCGTTGCTAGGTTATTCCCTATATTTATGAGTATATAAAGACAATAGTAATGACACCTCGTTACACAAGTGTCGATAGGACATTTAAAGATAGGTACTTACCATTGTTTCTCACGTATTCAACATTTTATTTTAGCGCGACCACTCTTCTTAGCGTTTTTTTTTTTGTTGAATAACCTACCTTGGGCCTAATGGAGCGTTTGTTTTTACGTACCGGTCATGAGATTCAAGTGCGGTTCAAAGTTCATGCTGCGAACCATCAATTGAATGCGCTTGTTTCCTCATTATTGAGAGAAACTGCGCAATCCGTACAATGGATACCCAACAAAGTGCAACGAAATAACCCTGATTATGCAATGCATGGAACAGCAATCGTTGCAGCATAGCAAGAACACTGCGAGCAGCTACGTCGAAGAGAAAAGCGTTAGCGGAAGACGTAAATTGAACGAGGCCCAGAAGATATACGATTGGCAATTTGCCGACATGCACCTCGCGCGAGAATTTTGCGCAACATGCCTCTGAGGCATATTATAGAAGCAGTCGCGCATACAAAGCAAGCATCAAGATATGCTTTACGGGTCGACCGATTCCGTCGTCGACACCAGTCAATCATGATGAGACTAAAAAAAAAGCGTACAAAGAGCTACGCAATTTGCGGCTGAACAAACTAAAAACCTAACGAAGATGAAGAACTACGAGGCTTAGGCTTGGAAACACGAAGCGAAGGCATATCGGCATGAGGAGGAGGCTAAAAAGTTCGACACAGTAGCGCCCCCTTCGGCACACGTTTAACAAAAAAAATCATCATGTTTTTTAATAATAAATGTTTATGTCAAGCTGGCTGTCCTTTTCTATGGTATGTCAAGGGTAAATGAATGGGAGAGCAGGCTTCCTAATTTCATAAGCCTTTTACATACCTTAGGTGTCAAAGTTGGAACCACTTTTCATTTCGTGGTTGCCCGATATATTCTTACGAACTAAGGCGATGAGTTTTGTCCTATTGTCAATTCTATAGAAGGGTTCTAGCGATACTGCTTTGTAGTTAGGCTAACACATGTTGTGGTAAGGCCACTCTTTTCGACGCAGATTATCTCAAACTCAATAGGAGCGAGTTCAACGGACGAACTAGCACTCTACCCTTTTCGTTGCAAGGAAAGACCTTATTTCTACATGGCCATACCTTTTGTATGTACATCCTTTTCCATGATGGACTGGCAGATTTTTGCAGGCTAGATAACGATCACATTTCGGTGACATAATGCTTCTCACCCATTGACGTAGTGACTCAGCTGACCTTTCAGTTGGTCTATAGATACCGCGTCAGATTACGGAACGAACTTAATCTTCTCCTTCTAACAAATAGGGAGGCTAGGAATATATTGGGTTGTGCAGTTTCAACCAGCAGCTAACAAACCTTGTTTTTGAGGAATCGTTTGGCCGCTTTGCTAACATTGCAAAAGCCGTATAATGTTAACCTATTGACGACCTCTAAGGTTGACCAGCCATTTGCTTTTAGCTACGTCTGTGTAGACTGAAAGCAATAAATAATGGACAATAAAGGATGATTTGGTTGACACATTTCATGATTAGACTCGTAATATTTAAAATTTTCTATCATCAGAAATCAGAAGGAAACATATTTTTTCGTATGTTTTTTTGCATGTTTTGCTTCACGTAGTTACGAATTACTGCCTTCATGTCGCATCTACCGTTATGTGTTGGGTTTACCTTTTTTCGATTCTGCTCTACTCGAGTCTGTTTTGGTTCTGAACGCTTTGGAAAGCGGTAGCAAGACAAGGAAGGGTTTGACTGTTGTTTTTGAGTTATTGAAGTAAGACGATTTACCATACTACAATGTTTTGTCATAGTCCTCGCTGTGTCTTGTGCCAGTGTTCTAAATGGCTAACGAGTTAGCCATCAGATGGTCGATGCACACGAAGCCTTTTGATTACCAAACGTTCTGCTCCCGGTTCTCACCTATGTTGTGACTTGTGAAATGGGTTGTTGTTTTTTTTGTTTTTTTTTTTTTTGCTTTCATTATCATTCTTCCATTATGATGTCACCTCTTTCATCGTCTCAATTTGACATGCACGTCTGTACGTCCTACGCCAATGATCGGTGCACTGTGTTTCTGTGTTTGCCTTCGCTGCAGCCGAATTCGTTTTTCTCGAGTGTCTTCCTCATCTTGTCCAAGTTTTGCGCAAAGTTTTCCTTGTTCCACCTTTTTATCCTTCACTTACTGGCTTTTTTGCTTGCTAACTCTTCTCCCGATTTTGTTTCCTGTAGATGGAAGCGGCGTCTGTATTTTGTTCATTCTTAGCGTAGACGTCTCTACTTCTACTCTGATGATTCTTTACCTTCCGAGTCCTGATTGCGAGAGATTACTGTTACCTTCACCAGCATCCGCGTCCTCCATCCCCATTGTGATCGTTGAACAGTGTTCGAATGGCCGTTCACTGTTCGTTTAATTGAAATTTAATTATCGGCTAGATAGAGTGGTTGTCATGTGCCCATCCTTGCTTTTTTACCCGGGTCGTAGCTTCCCAGCTTTCGCTGTCGCCCAAGGCCCCCTGTGCTCTGGGTAGGCTGGTTACGCTATCCATGCTGCTCAAAAAATTCGCTACGAAGTTAGGAGGGTATATATTGTAAATGTAAAGGGTGGCGCGGCAGGCAATGAGCCAGAAGGCGCCTAAACGAAGCTCATCTATCTTTTTAATATGTACTTGAGACCTTCTGTTCAAGGAAAAGACGTGGTGAGCTAAACGCACCAGTGCGACGAAATCAATGGTACCCATAAAATTAATTAGAATCTCTGCTAAGGTCAAAATTATGAGACAGTATAAGCTTTTACTACGTAGCCCCGATAACAACAATGAAATGCAATAAACAGTATAACCTGTAGAAGCCGCTAACAATTGTGCTCTGTAATTAAGGTTGAGCCAAGGTGAACTGTTGATAAAAAGGTGCAATCGTTTTACTTTGTAACATCACTTTAAGCACTCTACAGAAAAAAACGTCTCTCAAAAAAATGTTCCGAATTTTAAAATTTACATTTACTGGTGTTTGTAGGGTCAGTACAAACCTGTGTGAATGGTATACTATGATTATTATAGCAGTTACCAACTACCATTCTTTAATTGCCCATTTAACGCAAAATTCGTTGCAGTTAATGTACGATTATCGTTTCCTGAACTTTCTGCACTTCCGATATTATAAATGAGAGTGTAGATTGAAACCAGTAATACTGAAAAACGCAAATGCGCACCACTTCAGCCTTAAATGTCAAAGACGTTGATAGACGATCTTTCGTACCCATACGGTGTCCCATTTTTAGGCTAGAATAAATGATGTTCTGGTGAGCGCTCAGGATCGACTACTGCCCACTGTTTGATCCCTTGGGGCATTCCGTTGGCCTTCTAATACACCTGAGTTCTGCCAGAGAGGGAGCTGAAAATGAGGATAATAGGACGACGCCTAGCACAAACAGTTGTGATGGAATGGGAAGTCCATATATATAAAGGTTGGCGCGACAAGCAACCAAAATAAAACGAAAAAAAAAAGAGTAAATGGAATAGACTAGTGAGATCAGGTAAATTAAACCGCTGTAACCAACTAAGTTACTAATTGAGCTCGTGCACACGCCCAATAGCAGCTGGAATCACGCAAAGGTACTTGCATAACATCTGTTCCGAGTCTTGTTCTGTTTGAACGAAGTGCTCATTTGGCTGAAACGTTGCGATAGCCACATCGGATATGAGGGCAACAGAATTTCAGACCGCAGCTGCAAATAGAACCTAAAAGTCGTCAAAAAAATTAAAAATGTATATATATATATATATATATATATATATATATATATATATATATATATGTATAACACGTTCTACAGGGTTTCGTAGATTGGGATTGGTTGAAACGGGGACAATGATGTTGCGCCTTCTGCTCGACATGTAGCTAATGGCTGGTACAGCCATATCTGGCACAGAGTGATTTAACAGCTCCCGATGTTTGAGTTTTTCGATGTGAAATTAAACATCAAAATGATAAACATGATTAGCCTTACTATTGATTATGTGTCCAATGTAGTGTTTATAAGATAGAAAAGCTTTGGTGGTCTCAATGTGTGTATACTCCAGTAACCACCTCCGGCACGCGAACCATAGCGGGTATTCATCATGATTACTTCCGTAAATATAAACCCACGTACGAAATATACTTACTTTAGTTGAATTCATCACTGCCGTGAGAAGACAGTACGAAATATACTGTATTCTGAATGGAACTAATACCGCTTAAGTTTCTAACACACTAGGTGTCGATTCGACGCGACCCCTATGGAACTCTGATTGAACCCCGCAGAGTCAGCCCTTTTGAAAAAACTTTGAATACATTAGTGATAGCACACGACAGAGTTCTGGAATACCATAGCACGCGTGGCGCTACTCGAAGATTGTATAACTGCGCTCCACATTTGTTTGAATTTTCATTTGTTAACACTCTGTCATAGCCAGAGGCTATTCCACCCTCAAAAGGAGTTTCCAATTTAAGCACCCCTCAATAGATCAACGTATATCCTAACAAAATACATACGTTTGTCAATACAGGATATTTTCTTGACGCACATCTTCACTCTTTTCGATTATATGAAAGGTTTCATGAATCTATAAATTCAGTTTCAATTACTTGCACAACTTGCACCCACACGATTTTCCATTAACTTAAGTTCACTTGTTTTTTACGTACCTGTTTTACACTTTCGACCAATATAAACACTATCGATGAAATGAGAAATCTATGATCTCTGACGATGTCAGGTTATCAATAAACACATTATGCAGACAGGGGCCATCGAACACGTTCGAAATCGCCCGCGTTATTGTAATTTTGAGATGAAACGGAGGGCGAAAAGCCTCGTTTAGCGTCGTTTGAGATTCGAGTCGGCTTTAATTTAAAAGCTATTTGTTTTGCTTTGGAGAAAAGTTTGTTTATTATCGACGGTTTCAGCCCAGGGTTAGCCTATTAAACGTGAAGGCGGCCTTGCTAACCGTAGAGGGCTGTCTATTGATATGGGTGGACCGGTTATTGTTGGTAGGCTGGACGCGTATTGACTTCCGAAATTGCTTAAACCTCTATGAAGTGCACACGTATGTTATGTTCGCTAGTTCTCTTGAATGTGTACTTCAATAATTATTGCGCCTCACTATATAGGGGAAATAAGACAATACGCGGTTAGTCCTGTAGTGTACAATTTAATGTAAGAAATGATTTTGTTTCATTTTCCAAGTTGTGTTGTTGACGCATCGCAATATACTACATATATATCTGGGCCATAACACCAGATCACAGCATTAGTGAATACTGCCGGTTTCATAATGGCCGAATATGTCTATATGTAAAACGAATGTATTTTTTACGTGTGTCTACACATAGATATAGGAATAATGGCTCGGAAGTTATATAGTTGGAGCAATTGTATGTTTTTATTGGACAGTAAACACATAATTTGTTTAGCAGAATCTCCTACAGCGGCTAGACGGTCGGTTGTGGCCACGCACATTGCGTAGTATCATGGAACGATAGCAACGTTCGTTCGAATGTCCAGGTCGCTCAGTCCGCGATTTTCAAAAAGGTTGGATAACACTCGAGACTCAAACGTTCAGGTCAATCAATTGAAACTATTTGTTATTGTCATTTCCGTCTAAGCGATCTGCAGTGGTAGAAGCGAATACCAGAAGTGAATACCAGCTATTATTTGCTGGTAGTGCTTGCGCCTTTATACTAGAAAAAACAGGCGGATACCAAACCGAAAGTTTAGAGTTATACGTACGTTACCTCGTCGATATGCTGTGTTTTTGATTGGAGTATCAGCGAATAATTATTGGTTAAATACAATCTTGCATTGAATTTTTATCCTGCATTTCTACACTTGCCCTGCCGTCCTAAATGCTGAAACGAAGTACGACTGAAAGCACGTATTTAGGTTTCATTGTACTAGTGGTCTATATAGCGACGTCCACATGTGGCATGTTTATGAGTGTATTACACTATTCTGTAACGAGCGCGATATGACCTGTTTGCGCGAAGATGTATATCGTTGCGACATGTTCATAGGCTTAAAAGGGACCTGAATCTTTGAACGCAAACTACGGATTACTTGTGTATCCCATATTGATTTCAGGTGTCGGGCACATGTAGATAAACTTCCAACGGCTAACGAAGCACAGAATCGCGTTTCATTGACCTTGATCGATAATGGCCAGTTTATCCGCGACATAAGCTTGAGCAGTTAAGCGATCTGCCCATATACGATGTTTGCTATACATTTCAAATACGGTTAATGATACGTGTCCGTTTAATACCTGAGGCCCAAACGAGACCTATCGAAAGGCTATGCGTACACGACTGTCATTTAAATGATCCCCGCCAACTACAGAAATTATGTCTGTTATTACTAATTATACGTGGACGGAGACTGTCATTGGTGACGGGTTACCTTCGCATGACTTACCAGCCGAGGCTCTTCTCGAAAGTAGTAGGGTTGCTATTGTGCAATTGTTGTCATCGGCTGGCGTCTCGTTTTATCAACCGGTGACACCCTATCTTCGCTTAGACATCGATACACCTTGGCTTGAAAATTGTTCTTTTCGTAAGCCCCTCCTTGACCTTCGTACCTACAAATAGGCCTATGCGCGAACGATGCTACTTGAAACAAACTAGAAACTCTCTGATAGATTGCATTTGTCGAAGACTACAATAGCATGCATTTGTGCGATTCTGCCGGCAATTTACTTTTGCAGTGCTGACGTGTCGCCCGCCGGTAGAAGAAGGTGAAGAAGCCTGTACTAGTCATCGACGATGGAGAGCAACGGGTCTTGGTGCGATTGGCTCGTTTTCCTCTATCGGACCTAGCTCGTCTTGAAGCTGAACTTGCTCAAACAAAACAGATTAGTTCTATTCCGAAAATTCTTGGGTCTATGGAAGATCATCTGGTTGCAGTTCCGTTAAACGGGGACTGGAAACGTGGCGTGGCTGTATCGTCTACAGATCCACGCAGTGTCAAGGTTTGGTTGGCCGACTGCGGTTTTGAGTGCGCAGTACCTCGAAAGCTTCTTGCTCATGCGGATCGCTTACCACCATATGGCTTAAGTGCTGCAGAACGAATTTTTTTCAGTGAAGTTCAATGTTACAACTTTCAGGTTATTGTTCAGTGAATATTTGTCATGACTAAGGAGATGATTGATTTTTATATATACTCTGCGATGTATTGAACCTGGATCGTGGACTTCCAGACTCCATGCATCCCCCTAATGATCGATTTTTATACTATCTAATCTCATCAAGCTGCTCAATTTTATGCGGATTCCGAGGTGCGAGTGGACCTACGAACTTCTGTAAACGAAATCGTCGGGCTGAAGTGCCTTCGCTACATTGAGTCTAGACCTGCTACTGGAGAGGTTTTGGCTGATCTGGAACACGTTAGTATACTTAAGTTCCTTGAGCTCCTTAAATGCTCCTAGTTTGTTATTGGTAAGGACTGCCATGAATGAATATGATTTCAATATGAAGAATATAAAGAGAACTAGTCGTGGTGTGCCACCCGATGACTTTATTCAGACCCATCTTCATAGGTCTGTTGAACACGTTCGTCATAATGAGTAGAAACCCGTGCAAATAAAGTTCACATAATATGCGTCCATTATTTGAATAGAAAGTTTTAAACGTAGTGACCCTAAATAATAAGTTTTGAATCATAGGGTTTTTCTTTACTTAATTCCTCATGGACACTTTATTCTATCAATTTGACATACCCTTTATCTGGTGCCACCTTCGGTGCAGTGAAAGAGATTCAAGCAGAGGGGGCGAAAACTGCGATGCTTTTTCAAAACGTCGCTCAAGATGATCCGTTGTGGGTAAAATAGGCGCAGGCACAGTTCGGCCTGTCTGTCGCGCCGGCGTCTACTGACGAGTGCATTGAGGGCTCGGAAGATTCTGCTTATATTAAGTCGAAAAACCAACTACAGTCCATTGAAGTACCTCAGTTACCTTAAATAGTTCATGATGTCAGTTGTAACGAAAAACAAATTGCGGTGCCGGAGTATGCGATAACGATACGGTCAAACGGTGTCAACTTTGTACTTGATGCAGACTTAGAATAAGGCTTCGAAAAAACTCAGATTGACTCTAAGAGTATCGAAAGCGCCGTATGTCGCCTACAGCCGACAAAAATGTAGGTCATCAGACAGATATTGTTTTGACAGAACAAGCATACGAAGAATACCGGTAGAGCACTGCAATGTATGTAGAAGAGACTGATGCAACATACGATGAGAGAGACCAAGTACTGTACAAGCAGGATTTCGAAAAAGCTTTCTATAATGAGCATGTGCACAGCGTCTAATGATAGACGTCTGACAGCGCTGCATACAACGCTGATGAGCAGCGCGCATCTTCTGTAGCCAAACATGAAGCGACAGGTCAAATAATCCGCAAAGATGAGACTGCTATGCAATACGAAGCTGGATCGCAAATCATCTATGAAACCGTCCTCGTAGAATATACGGAAGGTGGTCCTATACAATATATAAAAAATGGTCGGATGACTTACAAAAGTAGCATTCGTATATTCTATGAACCTGCATAGAAACTAATATACAAAAGCGGAGCGCAGGTGATTAATGAAAAAGGCGTACGGATAGGTCCCAAAACAGGAACTGAAGCTCTGTGTGAGACAAGTACGCAGGCCGTCTATGGGAAAGACACTCAGGTTGTCTACGTACGCACGTACACACGTAAGCAGCATATTAGGGAACTCAACCAGTCTACGTAGAGGATAGCCTCGAGCATGAGAATGATACTACGAAATTTGGAAGTACCGCTCAAGATCGTTGCGACCAATATGCTTACGAAGTTGTTCTCAACGAAATCATTGAGCAATTCTATAGAGCTCGTGTAACTTACAGCGAAGATTGTCAGGTAGCTCAAACATTGTACTCGGAAGGTACTCAGACAGATTATGACGATAATTATGACGGGGTTTACGAGCAAGATTCTCAGGAAAAATCTAAAGAAGACTCTCAAGCATTCTATAAACGTGACTCGAGAGCCATAATTTATCAAAATACCGTTCAGACTGTTTGTCAACGGAAGAATCAAATGAAGTCGTTCACCAAGGACAGCCTCCGACTGTCCACGAGCAGGGGCATGATCAAACCTTTAGGCAAGTAGTCATCGAGCGACATATATAAACAGCAATTAGGAAGTTTTATAGCAGCTAACCAGAACCGACTGAATATGATTTTAACTTGAACGACCCACGTGTCGCCCGTCTAGAAGTTGCGTGTGCTACAAATGAGTAAGAACTTCAAGATTATCAGCGAGAGGCAACCGGCCAGTATCCGTTAGCAAACAGGAATTTTGTCAGAACTCCAGCCGGCGAGCATCGTACTTGTCCGAGATTTTTGCAAGTCAGAATGAAAAAGTGTGCGGACAGCTGTTGACCAGCGTCTGCTGGCAGATGCTAGTTGGCAACAGTGCATCGCTAACACGCAAGGTTACCATAAATTCCAAACTGCCAACATCTAACGCGGTCAAGACTTCGTTGGCAAATCAACTTTTGGTTGGTTTGTTGGGAACATCAGCTGGTTAGCCCCGAAGCACCTTACCCATGCCGAATCAGGACGGCGAGTCGTTGACACGAGGCTCTTCGATTAATCGTGCAGGCATTGCGCAAACACTGATCACTGATGAAAAGTACACTGTACGATTACAGTTTGAAAAACACTGCACCGAGCACGCACCAAGCAATAGACTGATCTTTATCAGTGAATATCCGGGAATGGCAATTTCAGACGTTTCCATAGAAAGAACACAAGAACCGTGTGCAATTGGCGACACCGTTAGCTGTACGGCTAGAAAAGTATGCTCTGCCCAGGACGTACGTGTTCCTCTGGAGAATTAGCCATGATGTGAATGAAAGAATATATCTGTCGAATGTCCCTCAGAAGATGTTAATCAGGCTCTTTTTCTAGGAACCAAGCCACAGAAAACTTGTGATAAAATCCAAGTAGCTGAAGCTCTCATTGCTAAGGAAGTCAAACTAGAAGGTGGCGTCAGACGAAGTCAGCAAAGCATTACTTTAGACGAGGCTGCTTCGTTGCAAGTCGTGAACGAAGAAGCTGCCTTGACTTCGGAAACCGTCAGGAACCCGGAAAACCCATCCGTCAGTTGTCAGACGACAGACGATAGAAGCTGTCTTCGACTCAACGAAATCGTGGAATTTGGGATTTGTACTTATCATATGTGTTGATTTATTTCCATACTTTCATAAGTTTTTCTACTGTTTTTTCGGTATTCAACATTCGATTCCTCAGTGAGTTGAAGATTTCAGGTCTCATTCCGGCATGCTCGTCACCACTCTGCGAAATGATATTTTCAAGTACAATGAGAACACTCATCAGGACATTGAAGTTGATTTGGCCAGTGACGCTTTGCCATACCCTAATACAATAATTATCTTCGGTTGACAGGTGATTTCTTTATTTTCGCATTCTGCAGCGATTGTAGTTGTGCTACATCAGCAAGCGCTTGTTCAGGATAGACTGAAGGAATTAGTTGCCAAAAAAGACAAAGTCATGTGATTTTCGCGATTTGAAACTCGACATCGGCGACGGGCGATAGTAACGTTCATCAACAGGACCTACGTGGACACGCAACTTTTAGAGAGCATCAGCAGACGTCCTCTTCAACCGAATTTATACCTTTTTAATTTTACGAATCAAGTTTTGATTAAATAAGACAACAAATGTTACACAGATAATCTAAAAATGACAAGTTGTTAAGAGAATAAGGAGGAGGCAAAATCTTAACCCGGAATAGAATAGTGTCCTAGATTTACAGGCTAGCTAGAGGGCAAAACAACGCTCATTGCGAAGATTGATTCCACTTGCAACTTGTGGGCTCAAGTTGTCGGTACGTTCTTTAAATCCGGTTCCAATGATCGCGTTGATTGTTAGAAGTAGTAGAGCTCTTAGCCCATTCAATTCGACTTGTCTAACTTCTCTTCGCCTTTTCATTTTGTACTGTGTAGTTACTTAGCGACGAAAAATTTCAGTTAAAATTAGCATAGACAGTAATATAGTAGATAGATTGTAAGTTTTTGCTAACTTACAATAATTGTAATTCAAATTTGAAATAAGGTTGCCAGGTTGTCCAGGTCCAGAAAGTGTTCGAATGTCTTCCGAAGCCTAAATCGTATCAGCAAGCACGTTGTAAGCTACAGTTTTTGGTTATGCCCGTAGTTCCAGGGAAACTTTGCCCACTTGTTGACTGAATATGCTGTGTAGCTTCGTTCACGAGGACGTTGTCTAGGCTATGTTAGCTGCTCAGGGCAAAGATCAACCTTCGCTGAAAAATATCTTGAATCGTTCCAAAAAAATTAGTAGCTTCTCTCAACATGTCCGCAGCGTGCAAAGGCTGCATATGAGATTGTCAACTTGTAGATTATCACTAATGTTTTTTTTTTCTTTATTTTTTGGTGTCTCATATACAAGTGCAAGGATGTAATTTTGTTCAGTTAAGCATACAAGATTTGTTGCTAGATTGACGATACTTAGAATAGGTGGTCTGGCCTACGGAAGTTTCCATGTTTGGTATATTTAGTAATAAATGTTATTTCCATGCTTCATTCATTCAATTCTGCTATAATTAGCTTACAACGGTATGTGAGTATTGATTCCCACTAACACTCATAATAAGTAATCGAAACAAAGTGAAAATGCCGGGATTCTTGTACACGGCTTGAAAACAAGCTTTTTTTTAAAATGAGCTCCAGCCTTACGGTGGCCTGTGTCTCGATACTACTTATGCCACTTAAGTGAAACCCACTTTGTGTGGAACCCGGGAAAGGATGTGCAGGTAATAATAATAGGTACTAGAGAATGACATGGAAATAGTGATGCCTTTACAGTTACGAAACGCTGGTTAAAACCTGACCTTTTCTTGGTAGATTCCTATGAATCGGGTTCTAAAATGTAAAGCGACACAATGGGATTTTACAGGTATTATCGAAGTGGCGGTACCGAATCTATCCTAATAAGAATCCTAATAAGAATAGGTTGCGACAGTGGTATTTTAGGCTTATTTTTTTACTTTTTTTATTACCGTTTCATTGCTTGTTAACTTCTATAAATCATTCAAACGTGCGATCTCCCTTTGTGATTTGATCGAATGGACGGAAGTTTATGTCAAGTCGACGCCATAAAATATGGAGGCTCCAGGAAAAGGAAGAAAAGTCTTTTCGACACATATTTTGTTTCATCTTTTGCCCCCGTCAAGCAGCTGCCGAAACAGCATGAAATATTCGTATCGGTCGAAGTTAATGAAAAGCAGTTGAAAGCATCTTCAAAGAAAGACAGCGGAAAGTAAAGTAGTGAATTAAGCGAGAGAAGAATTATTAACTGCAGCTATACAACTACCAACAGGCACTTTATAGCTATAAAATTTAACCAAAATTGGAGAGTTCCATGAAGTAAGCAAACATCGTAGAAAAATCACCACTTTTCCTTTACCCCATAACACATTCGATCAGTTCTCATGAGAATGAAAAACTAACTGGCAAATGGGAAAATAACAACGAGTTATTGTTAGAATTTGAGTGGTACACTCTGCTGCGCTCACCTATTTTGTGCTCTATCAACCCTATACATCGTGGATTGGTTATTAGTATAGAAATAGTCGTTCTACAAAATTACTAATTGTTCGATAAAATAATTTATTCTAAATGGCCGGTAATACGAACATTTTGTCTGCGCAATATGTCCAGTGGAATTATTACTAGTCAACCCTATTTGGTGATTTTCGTATTGCCCCAGAAGCCTCAAAGGAAAGTACCAAGGTTACGCATACGCTGATTTATGTCTAGCCACCGTCCTATTGAACTAATACTTGCTTTTGCTTCTAATTGTTGCCGATTAATAGGACAGCCTATGGGTCTGAAATGAGCCAATCTTTTATCCATAGCACGTATTCGTTTTCACTGGACCCTGCAACGGAGGCTTACTTGCAATGCAATATACTCTCCTTTTTTTTTTCTTATTCACTTGTATGACGTAACAGCAAAAAAAATTAACAAAAATGCAAGAAAATTGCTATCATACCGCCTACTGCTATTATTTTCGTTGCCAGTTCAGAACGGGTCAATCGAAAAAAGAACTAAGGAATGGACCGATAAGAACACACGCGTACTGGATTGTTGAGGTGTTTGTCAACGTCTTACGTGTCCAATAAGTTACTGACAGCTTTACTATGGCAAATCGACGAGTTGACAAGGTGCCTATCAACTGTATGAGCTCTTAACAGCGCGACAGTGAAGTTTCTCCCGCACAACTTTCGTTCTGCTTCGCTATAAACGTTTTGAAGGCTAACTAGGAAAAAGCATATGCTCATCTAGAGATAATGGCGGCAAGAGCAACTGTGAGGGTCTCCGTTTGTGGGAAAACTAACGGGAGGACAAGGGGACAGTTGCTACTGCTACGGGTAGTGCGCGATTGCAATCGTTGCCCTGCTAAGAGAGGAATATCGATTCTATTAGTTGGAAAACTTGCGGAGTGGAACTCGCCAGGGAAAAAAGTCAAGGATTGATTCTACAGGATCAAGCCTCGTTTCGCCCACCCATGGAATGATAATGGATTCTATTGACTTTTAAATGACTGAACGAGGGTTTCTACCTAAAATCTATAAATAAATAAAATGAAACCTTGCTAGAATCCCTCGTTCAGCCATCGAAAAGTAATATTATATTGCACAAAAATGTGACACTTAGCGCCCATTTAGATGTTTCTTGTGTAGATATAATTAACTAATGATTCCTAAAATATTGACTGAACCATTAAAAACTATTCTTGGACAGACCAGACAGTCTTAAGGTCAAACAGAAAATTCTAACTAAAAAATGGTTTCGTCCATTAAGCGTCTGTATCATGACTTTGTGTCGGTAAACCAGAGCACCGGCTTTGTAATAGTTAACGACGAATTACATCTAGTAATGATAACATAGGAACAATAGGGCAAACGATATGGTTATTAATGACAAAATTAATTGGTGCACACTTTCGAAAAATGCGTGCCTTATTGCTAGTCTGTCTTTGTCACAGAAAAAAATAGACCTCCTTGCGTCTCTGTTTATCTGACACAGTTCTGTAAACGAGCTTCTGCACACAACGACAGAGGGCTCCGCTCTCAAACCGCACTAGGTTCAACACCCAGATTCCGATTCTGTCCTCGAAACTAATCATTCACCCTTTGTAGTTAACTCGTCTCGGAAAGTAACTATTGAAATGACCAAATAACAATTTCGCTTACAGATGTATCGCTACTTCCTGCAAGCTTGTATGAATCGCAAGAAACGAGTGAAGTTCTTTCTCAGCAATATTTGCCTCCTTCGAAGAATTTCCGTTCGTAGGACGATCGATTTCATTGTCGACCTCGACGCAAGCCCCATTGCAAAACTGGGGCTTGTTTATTGCGGGTACCCTCCGAGTCGGGGCTGGCGCCAGGATGGTTGGACTCGAGTCGACCCACCCGAGCTCCGTCGCATCAATGGAGGGAAGGCAGCAAATTTCCTGAGAAAGGCCCCAAAACAGCGATGGTCCTCAAAGAAGGTTGCATTGCTTCCAGCTCCTCAAAGGACACCGCCCATAGACATGCGCGTTGAGCTATGTGCCCTTGCGGGCATTAAGGTGAGTCACAGAGAAAGTCTCAAGCCTTCCAGTATCACTAAAAGTGTGCTTTCAGTATTAACAGAATAGTACACACGTCTGTCAAGTCAATTTGAACCAATTAAAAACGACTTCACGAGATAGAACTAAAACAGCATTATATGTTTTGACAAAAAACCTTGAGCTTGTAATACTGATGCAGGATACTAACCGATGAGTTTGACAAGAGTAAATAAATAAATCCTGATTTGAACGTAACGGAGTTCCACATCGGTACTGAAACCTTAAGGTTTATGTCTAATGAAAACGGCATAAGTATGAATAAATTATTTTTACAGTGATTTTATGTCTTTTGTATTGTATATGGAACAGCTCTTGATAACAATGACTATAAAAAATTATTTTTTATGTGGGATTATTACGTCTACTACTGTTTTTTCTTATTATTCAGGTAGGCAGCGTTTCATGTGAGTTTGCGCTGTACGATTCATCTCGTTTGTGTTTCTATAGTAAAGTTTAGGTGTTTACTTCAAGTCATAGTTTAGTTCAGGCAAAAAAGACAGAACTCGTTCATCTGATTATTGGCTGGCTTTACTAACACACGTGTCTGAATGTACCTTAAGTGGAAAAGGTTCCGAAAAAAGAACTTGTATAGGGACCCTTACAGCTTTAGCTATGACTGGACTCTGAGAATGGCAAGCCAATTATTCGTATTTTTCAATTATTCGAGCAACTTTTAGATCATGTGGAAACTTGTACACAATTGTATCGAACGACAACTTGTCATTGAGACCCAGCACTTTTCCAAAATTTTTAAAAATTCTCGATATTTCTATATTTAATTTCCTTGGTTAGACCATTAGTAACTTTTATCGGACGAGGGCCTGAACGCTTTCTCCATATGCGATAGGGCATATTGAAACACCTGTTTTATTAGGCTCTCCTGTATGATTTGATTCGTCCCATAGCTATGCTTGAAAAAGCTCTTGGTGTACACTAAGCTGATGAAACTAGTTTTCTATGGAGTCCATTTAAGCGGGGGCATAAACGAGTGGTCCTATGCGTACGCCGAACCCTGGCATGTCTTTCTAGTGCCCCAGTTGCAGTTCGCGCATCCGCTTAATCATATACAGAACGACCATGCGCTAATCATCCGACATGTTGCCTTTGTCTAATTTACTGCCGACTCAAACCTTAATAGGTACATCAGATTGAAGATTAAAGCCAATATTTTGTGAGAGGAGCTTAGAAAAACTAGATTTTCCTCTACAACTTTCTTATTGATCTACGCATATGGTGCCCCGTGTTTTTTTTACTAGATACTACTCGAGTATACTCAGTGTACCGTAGGTTGGTAAATCTGACAAATTTATATCGATATCACCGGCAAGCACCCCGCAAGCAGGCCGTAATGGACGAGTCCGCTTCCAGTGCTGCAAAAGATGAGATCAACAATTACGGATAAAACTATTTGCTCCGCACCTATGTTATAATAATCTTGAACAGTCACCATCGCGAGGATGGCAGCCTTAATGAGCACGGAATTAGTAACATCATTATGCCTATTATGAGCTCCGTCATGAGCAATACACAAAATACACGCCGGAGAAACGAATCTGCTGGCTGACATAAACTGGCTTATACGCAAAGAACCCTATCGCCGATTGTGCTTCATGTGCCATCCTCTAAAACAGCGGACCGGCCAACTGATGTTGACAGAAAACGCGGGCGTCGTTGCGGGCAAAGCAAAACAGGACTAGCAAAGGGCCCAGCCAGGTTTATAGATAGACGGTCTATCTCTAAGCCCTCGAGATGGCTAGCAGTGGGACGTCGGAGGTTTGATCAAAAGACGCCCGGGCAGCAGTGATCGTCTGGTTAAAGGTTTATATTTTTAAACAGTGAGTAACAAATCAGCTATTACAAAATGAGAAATACTTTTTGTCGTATACTGTATGTAAAAATAGTGAAGCACACTTTTGAGTTCTGGAGGAAATATATGTATATATATATATATATATATGTATATATATATATATGTGTGTATATAGGTGATCGCTTGCCAACCATCAATTGATGATTGTTTAAAGAACACTGTTCGACAGAGAGCATATAGAAGTCGAGCAAAAACGGGTTCGAATTAATTAATTATTATTAATTTGATTAAAATCTGCGAGAAAATGCTGATCAGTTGTTCTAAATAAGAGTAGCAGTATTCTTAGTAAAAAATGTTCACATGCGGCAAATCAAGCAATTCTAAATAAGTACATTTCACGCAAAAGTAATTTAATTAGAACGGAAGTTGTTATAAAAAAGTAAAAAAAAATTAAATTGCCGAAGTAAATCGATGCTTCTTAAGCTGAGGTAAATTCGAAAAGAATAAGAGAAATTCGTGACGGTGAATTCGTGATTTACTATATCTGCAATTTTTACACTAAAATGTTGTGTTCAAGTGTTTTTATAGTATATATATATATAGTGTATATATAGTAATATTCTCGCACGTTTATTAATAAACAACAACACCAAAGGAGGCAATAAATTTGTTAGGTTTCATTTATGCTAATTGAATGTAGTTAGGTACATCGTTATGACTGTGTGTTGAGTTGAACTTATTTGTGAGCCAGTAAAGTCTTTCTTTTTGTGTAACAAGATGGGTTTCTTTCAACAATCCTCGACCGTTTTTGTTTTTCTCCGTATTCAATGGTCTTTTCTAATGAAATTTAGGTAAGCACTAAGGGTGCATCATGGACCTGTGACAATTTAGGTAAGGTAAAGTGTTAAGGAGAGCGAAGATCACAATACAAGATTGCTTTCTAAATGACCATTGTATGTCTTATGAGCATCACGTACCGGATGAAATCATTTTATCTTACTCAAATAGGTATGGGAAGAAAAGGCTACTACGAGTTGGTGGTACAATATGGACGGCATTTGCTTGACACGAACACAAAAAGAAAGGCCTGACTTGTAATTTTTCTATTTTTTGTCGCATCAAACACGAATAGCTTTGTTTTTGTTGCAAGTTTATTCGCTTCAGTGCGCATATACTATAAAAGCAGCGCAATATTGCGTAATAAACGCAACCGAGTATCGTGCACTCTGCTCTGCTGTACGGAGCCATAGAGGTAAAAATAAGGGGGCGTAAAAACCTCAGATGTAGTTGGCCTCGGGCGACGATTCCGAAGGCCACTGGCAACTGATAATAAACAAAAGTTAATAACTGCAATCTTATGTTCCCCCTCGACCACTTTTCCCTTTCGTCCCTTTTCCAGGCCGTTTTATTGTTTGCCGCGATAACATTGACATCCGCTAGAGGCGACCGCAACTTGGATGTTGAGATTCTTTTTTGTCCGTATTGCTGTTGTGCCAGTGCTTGAATACTTATATGGATTGTGTCGCTTTTTTGTGTTTGAATTTTATTTACTGCTTATATTGTTATAGATATCGCTATCAGACGTAAGTTTTTCGTTAGTGTGTTGTAACCTAATCCTTAATTAAGCAACATATGCACGTAAAGTTAACTTACTGCTTAGTAGAATTGTAAAACGATATTTCGTGGACTTGTGGTGAAGAAGCCTATCAACAAGAATGTGATATAAGTTACCTTTCGTTGCAGAGACTTGTTGCAAGATGACAGAAGCATTGCAGTACTGCAGAAATCCATGTAATGTGGAACGAGCTCTTACCGTTGCGTAATTGCCTGTGCTTTGCATGGCAGAAAGATCAACCCGAACGCTCGATCACGATATTTCCGTATAGATATTTCGCATAGATAGACGTCGTAATTTGTAAATTGCATCAAATTATAACGGCAATTACGATCATCCTTTCCGTTTCACGCCGGTTTCGTCATTTCGAATAGATATTTTTAGGGAATCACACACATTTTCAAATCACTGGAAAACGTATTCGCGAGTACGATATACGTTAGACAACGTACTATTTGCTTCTTACGAAACTATTCTAGCAGGCTAATTCGATGGCCTAGAAGGAACAGCCAAGGATCAGCTATGTATAAAAGCAAATGTACACACAATCTCGTCTAGATCCTACAAAACAATCAAGAGCTGATCATGTGTGCTGTTTTGATTACCAGACATGTCAATCAGCACCATTAGGTGACCCCCAGTGTTTCCAGTGTCCTGTGCGAAGTTTTCATTATAGACGTAACGTCGTCGGACAGCAGAACCCTGCTAAAGGCTACGATGCGAAATTATATAGCGGATGCTTGATCAGATAGGCACAATATGTATATAAATAACGCGCGTTTGTGCAGAGACGCATCCAAGTCCGAATAGGATTTTAAAAAAATCTCTGCTGGCTTGATTAGTGTGTTCGACGATTTCCGCTCCGTTCGTTTTCTTCACGCTCTGACCGTCTGCTATTCCTACGCCAGAGCTCGGATGTTTACCAATTTATATTCAGCAAATCCTCTAATGCTTCTCAATGTCTAAAATCTCTCCATGGATCAAAATATCTAGGTAAATCTCTCCTTTTGTTATGTCAAATATTCCATCTCATAAGCGCCTTGTGTCTTTTGTAGGTATTTATTATCCTACTATTACTACCTCATTTATCATTTGTTTTATTGATTACTCTTTCAGATGATTGCCACGATTGACTGAGTTATTATCAATCAGCATTAACGAGGATCTAACACCGGCTATTTGCGTAGTTAAACATTGAGCCTAAGTTGAATAATGAAATACACTACACAACACAACTTCGTTCCCACTGGAAAAATAACAGACCTATGGTCGAGTTCTTCAATCGAAAACTTATCTCGAACACAGATTATAGACAGACGAAATTGTAGCACGCATCAATCATTGTAACCTTTATTCGGGATTTAATACTCCGCACTTATAGCTGTAAGTTCAGAAAATTAAACATAGGCTTACAGGGACACATCAGTCCATGATAAAGGAAAAAAAAATATGTAGACAAGTCGGTTTACAATCAAGGTACATTTTATCTTATTGTTAAGCTGCTTGTCTTATCTTGTCAATCTATTTTTATGAGTCCATCGCTTCGTTTGACTGTCCAGTTGACTTTTATAGATCAGGTACTTCCTGTTACAGCAGCACTATAGATATATCTATAATAATTTATTTTGGATCAGTCAAGCATTTCTTTCGTTGGGTATGGATTTGGATCGTTGCTGTTCTCAAGGATTTCATCGATTACGAATAAATATTGATTGATATTTATTTAATATCTTTTAATCACATAGTTTGTACTATAGTATGCGCCGTTGAAGCAGCACCCCTTGATCTTTTTCAACCAGGGACTTAGTCGTTCAAGCCGGCCGTGTCGACCCAACTATTTTGGTGCCTGTGTCCTTGTTTCTAGAACTATGTGTACCTCATATCTTAGCAGTAAGTTTTGTTAAAAAAATAACTTATAAAAATTGTAACTATCGGTTTTACTGAAAATCGCTAGAACAATAACAATAGAAAAAAACGGCTTAACATTGGCCTTTTTACCGGCAAAACTCTAATATCATTCCTTTAAAGGTCAATTTCATTCGATATAAAGAAATACCATATTGTCGGTATATCTGGACCGGACGCTCGCGCCAAGCGGCGCTCAGTGTCCGATTAAAACATATATCTATATGGTGTCGGCTTATTAAAAATATATCAACCATTTTTCTAACTTTCAGCTCACATCCTTCAGGTAATACTAGTTCCGCCGGCGTTGTCGTTATCTGGAAGCTCAGATTTGACAATAAAATGTAAATGTATTAGCATTGTTCGAATTGCCGTATTTATATTTAAGATAGAGCGCCTTGAAGATGAGTGAGATTTAGGCAAAAGTTCGTTCGCAAATACGTTGTATTATGATAGGGGATTACATGCTGTCTAGGGATCATAGGCGTTTTCTTTATTGGGTCTTGAACCATAAGACATCCGTTTCGATCTTTATACAACTACTTCGATGGTGTCAATGAAGTTTTGACGAAGGAACGCAGAAATAACTTGTCACAAATTTTTCCCCAGAGCTTCACAGAGCTTCACAGAAGGTTATCGACCAGAATGGCCATATTTAGTTTAATGATATTATTTTAAATTATTGGCGAAAATATTTTTGTTTCAATTTTCACTTAAAGACGGTCAATACTTTTCGACAACTCAACATGTCGATTGTAGCATTGTTGAATTATGGCCATTATTACAGAAGTGGGATAGAGTATTATATATTGCTGCGTAGTAAGAATTTAGCAAGCTGGGCACAATTGAAACAAATTTCCCTATAACGAAACACGTGAGATTAATAATAAACGATCCTTGCAATTTCCATAAATCCTACTTTCGGCAGATATGGTTCTTGCTTCTCTTGTTTCTTTTTTCGTCTGCAGTTATTTATTCAGCTTTTACATCAGCTCCCGCAGAGAAACGCACCTTGTAAGCCGAGACGCCCATCCCCACACAATTCTGCAATTACGTGTGTGTCAAGGTGCTCAGATCTCAAGCAGAATTCGGTGTAATGCAGTCGGGTACTTAGCGCGGCCTTCGATGTCCTTGGCCGACTGACCGTTTACCCATCCCGCTTCCTGTTTTTGCTACTCTTGTCATTATACCTTCGGCATAAGGGAGCGGCCGTTGCCTTATAAAAACCTTTTCGTTTCTATTTCTTTTTCGTTCCCGTTCTTCTTTTGAGGGTAGTGCCCCGCTCGTTACCCCAATCCTTCTTTGACCAACTTGAAAAGCGTTGCGCCGCTACTGCTTTTTCCGTTCTTTTTTTGTCGCCTCGACGCTGCTCGCACTAGTTGACCATCGAATCTCTCCAATTACTGGCGTCATCTCTTTTTTCCTTTGTGTCGCTGGTCACAGCCGTCTTGCTGACAGGACAGACATGTCGATGTACTAAAGGTACGTTCCGAACAAGAGTAGGCGCCAGCGAGTAGTTGCCGGCGAGTAGAGTAGTTGCCGGCGAGTTTAGCCACCAAAGCAAGACCAATGCTCTCCTTCGCTTCCTGTGTCATCACCTCGCAGGCTTCTGGGCGCCTGCCTTGTACGCGACGCCGCCGGTCATATGACGAAGCTTCCATCGGTTGGTTGCTTCGCTGCACAGTCGACCGTACGGCCTTCGTTGCGTTACTCTTCAGTTTCGTTTCATGCCCGTCGTTCGCTTGTTCTGGAACCGTCATTCTCGAGAAAGACGGCACAACGCCATCTTCGTTATAAGGAATGGAGAAAGCGGGGACATTCCATTGTGATGGGTATTAGAGACTTGCGGCGTATGTGACAGGGTAGAATATAGAGAGATTACGAGGGGAATACGGAAGTTACAGACAGATCGAGGGGAAAAATCTATATTGAAATTGCGATAAAGAATAGATAGTATTTTATGTTTAAAAACCGCGGCACAGCTTCGAGGTACGCACACGAAAAGATGCGTTCACGGGGTCAGGTCCCGTATACACGCCTATTTGATTTCATATACTGGGCTGAGTCTTAATACAGATTTGCAGAACGGCTGGCCGTAGCAGAATACCTCTATAGAATACATGTATACAAGATGTGCGGATAAATAAAAGTGATTTTCGCTTATATGTGGCTAAATCAGAACTTCGGGGAGGGTTCGTCTATCGACAACCAACGAAGCAACAAAGTTCAATAGCAGAAAAAAGAGAATAAAGAAAAATCCGTCTTGTATTCGTTTGATTCTTCAGTCAACGTTTAGTCAACTAGTCGACGCGTGCCATCTATCACTGGCGTATCGTGATCGAACATTTATGGCCATCGGGTTGGTCTTCATTTGTAACAGTTGGTAGTTCTCATAGTTTAAATAAGTATATACCTTCAAATGCTTACTTAGCCAATCGAAAAGGATCATTAACATTAAAAGTAATGGGCTGGCTGTTGCACTGAGCACTTATGCCTTCACCTTGCTGATAACATACTTTACTGCATAACAGAGGTCACTTTTGATTTCACAAAGGTACACCATTAAAACAAACATATTGCCTGTTATATAGTCTGAGGAACTACGGTAACTCTGACTAAAAGTAGGTGACCATGCTAAGAGACGATGCTAAGGTTCAACAATACACTGAAACACTGCTGTATTTCTGGAAGGATCTTCGTAATAAACACCACGGTTTACCTCCAGTAGTAGAAGTCAGGTAACCGGATTATTCCGACTTCTAAAGTGCAACAGCTATAGGCACGTGTAAGACAATAAGTAAATACGTGTGTTTAGTAGGTTACCAAGGTATTAGCTAGATATAGTATACAAAATACTTCGTGTCTTTTGTCCATAATAAACGATCATATTTTTTGCGTCGTATTATGTTACGTAGTTCCTCAAATAGACGTAGATTTAATGGTTGTATAAGCACAGATATTTCACTTATCGCAGTAAGCTCCGAAGTTCTATCGACGTCCGTAAGATCAAATGCTAGGCTCCTATTTCTTTCGTTCGGTTTCTCCAGTCTCTGCGAAGGCAGCAAGAACGGCCCGATATGGAGGTCGGCGAAAGGCTGTAGGTAAAACTGATAGACAGCTACCGGAAGTGGCAGGCGGATGCAACTTACGATGCTTAGCTCCGGATGTCCTCATCTCTATAGCTGTGGCCTCGCTGCAACACTGCAGTTCCCCCATTTCCCCTTTCTCTCTGTCTCCTGTGCTGTATGACAGCTCTAGCAGTCCTCCGGTCGTAGAGGTCTGACAACGTCATGCTAAAAGACCGATAGGTTGGTTGGCATTGCCAATGGCTAGCAGAATAACCGGGGTTCTCATCTCTCATAAATGCATAAAGGCTTCCCGTCGCTGCCCATCTGGGCCGTCGTCTTACCTAGAACGCTAGAATCTGAACCTGCTAGCCGCCGTGTAGGTCCATCAGGCAAAGCGATGTGTGCAGAAGTCGTTTAGATCCTTTGGCTATGATGCACAAACAGCTTCCGATTCCGTGTCTCTTGTCTTTTGGAATTCTCGTTCATACACGGCAGAAAGGGCCACGAACAACATTGCTGTTGAAAAAGGCAAACAGTAACGTGGTAGGATGTCGCTAGTCGTAACGAAAAGCTCATTACGTAGCCCTGTAGAGGAGTCATAAAATACTATGATTAGAGATTGGCTACCTTACGGCATGCCTGTTTTCCTCTATTCTGGAAAGAAGTTTTTACGTCGAAATTTCGAAAATACAGCACAACTGCCTGAAATCCATCTGGAGACGATAAACGAAGCCGTTGTGACTGCAACCTTGTCGAACATGAACGCAACGTAAAGCATGGTTCAACTATACTTTGTTTGAACCAGTAGTTATGTTATGGCTCTTCCAATAGAAAATTTTCGCTAAGATCCATCTTTAACTATAATACAAACTAAACTAAAATGAGGAATACATTTTTACCAGTCGATCTTTCTCCTCTGCTGTATGCAAGGATGGCGAGACGTGCAAAGCATGATATAAGAAAAAATATACTTCTGAACCGATGACCGAGATATTGGGCAGCTGAATGTCATACGCTAGCATGTGTTTCAGTCCTCAATTTTAGGCAGAGATGTACTATATGAAAGGGAATGCAATGTAAGAAAGTTTCGACGTTTGTCTAAAATAAAAAAAAAATATATAGACTTACTTTAGTGAGTATTCGTGTATGTTCTGCAAAAATATATTTAATATGTAACATCGACCAAGTGTCAATTTCTAATCGATTCCAGTCATCCTGCGTCTGCCATTGGACTAAAAAAGTTTCCCGGGTGGACTAAGCAGAGTGGGTAGTGCCTAAACTACTTAGGCAAGCTAGCCGGGGCTGTCAGTGATCAGCACGAGCAGCAAAATCACCATGGCCGCCGGGATATACGTCGGACAGGGGCAAGCCAGGGGTCGTAAACGCGGCAATCTAATTTTCTACCATTGTCCTCGACTTTGAAATTCACTACCGACTTAAGCCCTGCCTAATTCTTTCCGAACATGGGCCCTAACTCGTTCAGTTATACGAGAGCTGGTACGTATGAACGATCCTTCATCGGATTCACTCGGCGAAACCTTGCTCTTTCAATTAATTTTAGCTGAATCTCTGCAAGTGTATGTTTGTATGTCTCAGATTTAACTAGATTCTTACATGAGATTTATTAGAGGAAGGCCATTACCTCGTATGGGGTATAATCTCGTGATTACGCGATATGCTGTTAAGCTAGCCTGGGGTATTTTTATTTATTTATTTTATTATTTAAAGTATTTGTATACGGGTGGCAACGAAAATAGATTTGATTTATTTCCATACATGCGTTGCTTTTGGTTGATCTGCTTATATTGTTTGCACTAATTTGTTTAGGTTTGCTATTTATTCGCATAATGTTTTCTACAATAGATCTAGCTAGATTATCCAATAGTGGCATCATTAGTAATTGTGTCAGGTGCACTCAACAACCCCTCTGGGAAGAATATGAAGATATGTATACAAGGATTGACAATGGACGTGGGTTTCGCGGCAAATGTCTAGTCGTCACGCTCATAGGGGTGCTTTTATATGACAAGATCATGCTTTTTGAAGTTTTTTATCTCTAACTATGCTGATGACAATTTAAAAGAGCCAGTTTGCATAAATCTGTTTAATTATACATTACACACGTGTTCACTTTAAGCTCGCATTACGCTAGAAAAATTATCGCAACTTTTCGAAAAGTTACGTAGTAAAGTAAAGCA